ATATAAATAAAGTTGAGTTTGAATTCCGAGGTCACTTGAACGCAGCAGAAATTCTTCCCTCCCGCCCAAAAACACAGCAGGTCAGATCTACAAACCGCTGTCGCTTGTCCTCTCTGCATGCTGATTCTCTCTCTCTCTCTCTCTCTCTCTCTCTCTCTCTCTCTCTCTCTCTCTCTCTCTCTCTCTCTCTCTCTCTCTCTCTCTCTCTCTCTCTCTCTCTCTCTCTCTCTCTCTCTCTCTCTCTCTCTCCTCAGGACCTTCCCTCGTTCACTCAGAGCGTTCAGCGGCTGGTGAACGACCTCCGTTATTACAGACTGTGTAACAGTAGTCTGCCCACTGGAACCATCAAGCTATAGCAGAGAGACGGCTGCTGAGACCGCTCCACACACCGACGACGAGGAGGAGGAGCAGGAGGATGATGATGATGAAGAGGAGGAGGAGGATTGGACTGCCTGTGCTGACCACTTTGCCCAACACTCCTTCTCCAGTCCGGCTTTGCTCCGCCCCCTCCTGAGTGAAGGGGCGGAGCGACAGGACTGGTCTTGTTGAGTATTTGGAGGTTGAGGATGCTGCTGATGTTTCTCTTTGATTTCTACTGTAGAAGGTCGGCGCGTTGATACTTTGAAAAGCGGCGCCCTCCTGATTTGTTGCCAACGATGATTTGGCAGAAATGTAAACCTGGTCTGCGATTGGCCTACGCCCAGACCTGGAGCAGTCTGAGCCGGGCCGCCTTCTTTCCCACGCCGCCGCCACCACAGAGCTGCGCTGGGACTGAGCACTTTCAACTCATTTTGAGTTTTTTAAGAAAATGTCTGCTTTTATTCATTTTGCCTTCAATTTTGTTTTCATCTCCAAAGGAGACGGACTCTCGACTTAAGATCTTTCATATCATTCCATTCTGAAAAAGAGAAATCTGCTTGATTAATAATAAAGTGCTTTTTGTAGAAAAAACTCGGGTCAGAGCTCGTCGTTTTTTTAGTCGTCTCTTCACTCTCTTCCTGCTCTCTCTCTCCCTCTCTCCCTCTCGCTCTCTCTCTCTCTCTCTCTCTCTCTCTGTTTACCGTTTTTCACGAGACCTTCATCATCATTTAAAATCCATCGACTTAAACTTCTTTTCTCTTTCTCCACATTTTTAAAACTAATATGAAACACAAACCTGAACTCGATGTGTTTCCTCGTCCTCCCTGAAGGTCGAATCAGAGGCGGAGATTTCTCCTGTGCTGTTATCATTTACTGTCCGTCTATGAGTTCGAGGAAACGTGGAAACCAAAGACTGTATATACATATATGTGTGTGTGTGCCTGTGTATATATACAGTCTATGGTGGAAACTCGATCAGAGCGTCTCTGGAGACCCCTGCTGTCTAAAAACTGTCACTGCAGGCTGATTGTTTTTTTCTTCCTCTCTCTTTTTCCCAAAATCTCATTTTGCTTCTGATCAAGTTTTTATAAAGAAATGCAAACGCTGAAAGATCCTCGACTTTATTTTCATGTGCTAAAATTCAGTGAAGTAAAAATACTCAAAATAAATCTGTTATGTGAACATGGTTTTTATTTTCAGAGATATCAAACTGTTGATACAGAGACGACAAAGGTCAAGAAAACAGAAATTTCACAACAATAAACAGTTGAATGATTTTCTTTATCTCTTCAGTTTCTTAGGAATAGTTTTCCATTTTTATACGTTAAAAATATAAAGTATCTGAGATAAAAGAAAATAGAAAACTTTCTAAGAACAAAAAACAAAAACAAAAAACTGAACAAAATATCATTTAACAAAAACCAAAACTATTTCATGACAAACTTTCAATCAAAATAAGAAGAAATGTTTGTGTGAAATTAAAACGTTTTTATTTTTATTAATTATTTTGCTGTCAAACTCTGTGTTGTAGTGAAATATTTTTGACAGTCAATATTTTTTCATGTTTGGTAAGAAGTTATTAAGAGAGTGAAGCTCACCTTCAGAGCCATGATAGGTTTATCATCATTAAAATACTAGGAGATGGTATTGCATTATATTCTTCTTATTATTATTATTATTATTATCATTGATATTATTATTTATTTTTATCACTAAAATTATATCTTTAAAATACTAGGTGATGGTATCAAAATATATTATTTTTTTGTTATCATTACGATTGTTTTATTATTATAATAACTATTATTATTCCTATTGTTATTATTTACATTATCATTATTGTTGTGTTATTATTATGATTGTTTTATTTTATTATTATTTTTACTATGATTGTTATTATTATTATTATTATTATTATTATTATTGTTTTATTATAATCATAGCGTCTTTAAGATACTAGGAGATCGTATCAGAATATATTTTTTCAATTATTTAAATTATGACTATTATTATTTTTTGTTGTTCTTGTTTTATTCTTATAATTATTGATATTATTGTTAGTATCATTACTATTTATTTTTATTATTATTATCACATAAATGTTAACAGAAGTCCAGTTTTTGTCCCTCGCTGAACTTTTCTCTAAAACAAACATGTTGACAGAAATCAGAGTCAGTGAGGCTCGTTTGGCATCAGTGGAGTTAAATCTGTTTGAGTTTGAGCGACATTCAGGGAGGTGACAGACACACACAGACACACACACACACAGACACGCACAGACAGACAGACAGGCAGGGGGATGACTCTGGAGTAGGACTTGAGACACTTGGACTTCTCTCTCCAGAGGCGGACAAACACGAACACTGACTCGGGCATCATGCTGAGAACCGTCTGCAGGAGGATCTTCACCCCGGCTTCTCTCAGGGATCCTGGAGCAGCTGGAGGTCTGCCGTCCGGGTTTCCCTCCGCGCTGCTCGGTGGGAGCAGAGCAGCTGTGGGACTCAGGAGCAAATCCAGTAAGTGGTTTTATTTCTATGAAGACGGTCCGAGATCAGCAGGTGGACTTGTTGGTGTTCTACCAAGAGAGAGGACTTTACGGCTCTCCTTTAAGAAATTCAGACTTTAGTCATTCCGTCTGAACTAATTTGTAGATGACACTCATATTGATTTTCATTAAAGTCAAGTTCGGTCTCTCTGTAAACATCAGTGCTTCAGAGAGGAGAGACTTTGCTTCCTTTGCGCAGTTTTTATTTGTTCCAAACAAAACGAGGTCGTTTGCAAAAGCAAACAGTTCGCCAAAGTGTCGGGGTCATGAACTGGAACTGGGTTAAAACCACAGAAGATAGAGGTGGTGAATTGGCTGACAGAGGCAGGGGGCTGTGGTGTGCGTAAAAAGCCAAAATCTGTGCGTAAAGTGTGCGTAACAGGAGAGAGAGAGAGAGAGAGAGAGAGAGAGAGAGGTGAAGCCTGCGTGTCTGCAGTTACCCAGTCAGTGTGTTATAATGGCAGCAGTTTGAGAGGATTCTCTCGTGCTGGGTCACGTGTAATTGTTTGCATGCAGTCAGTCATTATCTCCCAGAAAGGGTGAAGCTGCTGTTAGGAACCACCGCCGACCATAAACCCACAAATACGAGCTTTTTCTCTGATAAGGAGTCTGACATGAAGTTAACATGAAGTTAACATGTTTGGGACTTTGGATCAAGATCTGGACGTGGGGGGTGGGGGGGACTCCAGCCGGCTGTAGTATTAGTGCTGATATACACTACATATCTGTTTACTGGTTCACTGTTTAACATGAAACTATAATATAAAGTAAATAAAGTTTATTATCTGTGTGTGTGTGTGTGTGTGTGTGTGTGTGTGTCCAGCAGGTCTTCCAGATGTGAAGGAGCGGACCCTCATCGCTGTCAAACCAGACGGGGTTCAGCGTCGTTTCATTGGACAGATCATTCAGCGGTTCGAGCAGCGAGGGTTCAAACTGGTCGGACTGAAGATGCTGCAGGTAGAAACGGAAACTGAGACGGTCTGAGACTGGACTGAGAGATCGGATCTGACTCTGGTTCTCTCCCTCCCTCTCTCTCTCTCTCTCTCTCCTCTCTCTCTAACTCTATTCTCTCTCTCTCTTTCTCTCTTTTTCCCTCTCTCTCTCTCTCTCTCTCTCTCTCTCTAACTCTATTCTCTCTCTCTCTTTCTCTCTTTTTCCCTCTCTCTCTCTTTCTCCTCTCTCTCTCTCTCCTCTCTCTCTAACTCTATTCTCTCTCTCTCTTTCTCTTTTTTTCCCTCTTTCTCTCTCCCTCTCTCTCTCTCCCTCTCTATCCCTCTCCCTCTCTTTCTCTCTCACTATCCCCCCCAGGCGTCCGAGGACCTCCTCTCTCAGCACTACAGTGAACTGAGGACCAAACCTTTCTACCCCAGACTGCTGAAGTACATGAGCTCAGGACCCGTGGTTGTCATGGTGAGGGAATCCCAGTAAACCCAGTAAACCCAGTCCTCTACATCCACTGGACTGTTTTGGTTTCAGGACATAAAGAGAAAGGTTAACAGGAAATAAACCCAGAGCAGGTCTTCTCACAGTCCTCTGTGTTTCTGTTCCTGTTGAGGTTTGGGAAGGTCACAAAGTGGTGCAGACGTCCCGTACGATGGTGGGACACACGAACCCAGCGGAGGCTCTGGCAGGAACCATCAGAGGAGATTTCAGCTTCCATGTGAGCAGGTAACAGAGAACGGGTCAGATTTTAGGATCAGACAAAAACTCACTCTTCTTTTTCTGGTTTGGAGACGTGCTGACAGAGAGAGGTGTGTTTGTCGTTTGAAGGAACGTGATTCACGCCAGCGACTCGGAGGAGGGCGCTCAGAGGGAGATCCAGCTGTGGTTCAAGGGGAGAGAGCTCCTGAACTGGGACTGCTGCGACCAGAGCCTCACCCTCGCTGTGTGAGCTGGAAAAGACCAATCCTGATATCAGAGAGAAACAAACAGATTCAGGCTGAAATAAATCTTCTTATTTTTATTAAACTCGATTTAAAAAAACGAGGTAAACCTGCAGGAGGAGCCTGCCTTCAGTCTCAGGATCAAAACTGTACAGGAACCTTTTTTAGTCTGAAATCATTCTGTCGATTTTTATCGAGATGTTGGAGACACAAAGCTGCTCTGAGGAGCTTTAGTCAACGATTGAACGGTTTTTGTCTTTATTGATCTGTGATCCAGAAACTTAAAAAGTCCTTCAGGTCCAGAAAACTTCAATAAAACAGATTCTATGATGGAACAAAAAGACCAACTCTCACTTTGTTTTCATACAGATATAATGTACCATCATGTACAGCTATACAATCTGACTAACTATATATCAATCAATCAATCAATCAATCAATCAGTTTATTTATTAAGCACTTTTCACACATAAACTGTATCACAGAGTGCTGTACACAAGAAGGAGAGGATCAGGAGGATACAAAATAAAATACAAAAACACACACACTTAACATTACTCTGTTTCTTATATGATAAACTCTGTGGTGACGTTTAGATTTCTCTTTTGTTGAAATCAAAGTGAAAATTTTACCTCTTAGATAATTTTCAGAATAATTCAAACAAATACGAACAAAAAGTTTAATTCAAGCAGAAACAGATAAAAATGTGAGTTTGTTGAATGTTACAGAATAAAAAAGTAAAACAGAGTTTAGTTTCTACAGAACATGAGGGGTCAGGAGGAGGGTCCGACCGATTTATCGGCGAGTCGATTAAATCGGTCAAATTTAGCCTGTTTGAGACTAATCGATAATCGGACAAAACTCGCCGATTGTCACTGAGTCGTAGTTGAAAACGCTTTTCTGGTCTGAGTTTGATCAGTCGGTCTTCCTGTAGGCGTGAAGAGCAGTATCCTACAGTCTATAGTAAACTGTGGATATCTTCACATTTTTTTATAACTTCCAATAATCGGTATCGGCCCCAAAAACTCCTCATCAGTCGGGCCGTAGTTAGGAGTGAAACTGGATCATGATTGGATCTTTAGTTCTTAGTCAAACATTCGTCTCTCTAAATTCGCTCTAACAGCAGCTTCAGTCTGTGTCACAGAAACTTAATTTAATCAACATTTTATTTCCTGTTTTAAAATCAGAGACGTTAAAAACACTGATGAGACGATTTACTGAACAAAACTAAATAAAAACCGCTGACATGTTTGTTCAGCTGTTATCAAAGGAGAACATTAAAGATCTCTGATCGATCAGTATTAGTGATTGAAGCTCCGTCACATGACCACACCCTCTGATTTCAGACCAATCTTCAGCTTCTGTTTCTCCATCACCGTCTCCAGCTCTGAAGCTTTACGAACGTCCTGAAGAAGAAACAAAACAGGAAGTTATTAAAGCAGAAAAACACCTGAAATTTACAGAAGCAGTTTTATTTTTGCAGACTTGAAAACAGACTTTATGGACGACTTTGATCCAAGAGAGTTTCTGTTGTATTTGGTGGTTTAATGTCTCTGTTCATATGAGGTCAGAAGACAAACCTCCTCTCTGATCTGCATGTTAGCAGCTTCAAATAATCAATATCATGATTACAGATTTTAACGATAATGAGATGAAGTTCAGCACAGACCTCCAGAAGAGCTTTCTGAACCATGATCTGACTGTAGACCCGAACCCCCTCCTCAGGAGAGACGGTGCGGAGCTCCTCCTTATTCAGGGAGAACAACTGAGCTCCGGTCAGGATACCCAGACTCTGAACTGTCCTGGAGGAGAGAAAGAGAGGAGGTGAGAGAGGAGGAGAGGAGGAGAGGAGAGAAGGAGGTGAGAGAGGAGAGAGAGGAGAGAGGAGAGGAGAGAAGGAGAGAGGAGAGGAGAGGAGAGGAGGAGAGAGAGGAGGACATCATGAAAATCAAACCTCTCCTCCTTTAAGGTTCGGTCACCCTTAAATAAATCTCATCTTCAGATTTCTGCTTTAAAAACTTTCTGTCTGTCAAAGTTAAAGTTAAAGTTAAAGGTCCAGTGGGTTAATATGAGCGTTCAGTCTCTACTATATTCACCATCATCAAAATTGTGTTTGTCCAAAACTAGTTTATTTTATTTTATTTTATTTTCAGTCAACAGAAACAAAATTATCATAATAAACTTATTTAAACACATTAAAAATATTAAATCCTATTTCCCTTAAAGACTTCTCCTCTAAAGGAGCTCAGACCCACAAACTGGATCTTCTTATTGGCAAAGAGGACGTTTGGACACTAGAGGGCGCCACTGTGTCTCTGAAAGAGTCAGTGACTCTGACATGTACTGTGTGTGTACAAAACTATCATCTGTGATTTTAAGGATCACTAAAGTCTTTAATCTGATTTTAAATGATTTCTGGATTATTACAGTCCTGTAATCTCAAAGATCAGACTAATCTGAGTTAATCTCTTATTATTTCCAGTTAATCCAGTTCAGAGCTGGAGTTTAAGTAAGTCAGAGTGTCGATCCTGAGATTAAGATTAGTCAGATATTCTGAGAGAGTTTGAGACACTCACTGCAGACTGAACCCTTTAGCAGAGAGCCAGGCCTCCACCTCAGCCGCAGGGGAGTGGTAGTTCAGGGGGGCCGAAGTGTCCGGGGTCCGAGGGACCACCAGGGGCCGGGTCGAGCCTCTTCTCCCCGCTAACCGCT